TCCCACATGCTGACGGCTTTTCTCTCTCCTCGACTACATTCGATTTTTTATTTTTCCTTTATCGTCAGCTTCCTTTGAATCATTATTTACCGGCATTGCCTCGCCTTGATTTCCACTTTCTGCTTATCCGCCGAACTATTCCTGGAGCTCGGGCGTATTATACTCGTAACCCGTCTTCCTCGCTAAATCGCCGAGCAGAGTGACTGACACCATGTCCAGACGACATCCACAATGTCGATACCGATGCAGCATCCAAATTGCTATTTATTATTACGTTGTCGATCCTACGCCACGTTCGACTCGCCGCCGCTCGTTTATATTATTAATGCTTTATCCAGAATTAAGTGTATTTATAATTAATTCTTTATCTCACTTACAATTTCGCGATTTGTAAGGTCCCAAAGTAAAAGCTTTTCATTTATTAATTTTTTTTTATTTTTATTTTTTTTTTTTTCATTATTATTATTATTATTATTATTCGCAACGTCGTCAACACGTCAAAAAAAGTGCTGTTACGACGTGTAATGCGCATACGAATGTGGTTGTAGCACGAATACGCCATGATATATTATTCGAATAAGTATGGCATTTTACGCGATAATTTTCAAACGAGTACTCGACAATGCCATACGCGAGTACCAATCAGTGCGCAAGTTATTATTATTATTATTATTATTATTATTATTATTATTATTACGCCATCGCGAACCCCTCGTATCCATTGTGCACAGGAGCGGGCGAAGGGACCGAGGCAAAGCCGCTACATTCACGCGCTCGATGTCACATCCGCTCCATTCTTTCGCGGAGATCGCGAGAGACACTTTAGCGCACCGCAGAGGCTCCCATCTTCTCCTCCTGCTGCTGCTCCTCCTCCTCCTCCTCCTCCTCCTCCTCCTCCTTCTCCTCCTTCTCCTTATTCCCATTCTCATTCGCATTCTCACTTTTCATTTTGTTTTATTTAATCTTTAGATATATGTTTAGTATGATAAAGTTGAAGAAATTTTATTTTAAGAATGCATGGATATGCCTGGAAGTTGTTGCCCAATGGCTTGAGCGTACGGCGTCGGCGGTTCCCCCCGAGGATTTGCCCTCCCTGTCCCCTTCCAATTGCTCGTTGCCTCGGATCCGCTAATTGGGAGAGCCAAGTACGCGTTCGATTATTAAATCGCGACTCCAGTTTCGCGCTCGTAATATTTTTAGCTCGCTTTATTGGCCCCACTTGGTCCAATGTGTGGGCGCGCGTGCACTGTTTTTTGGCTGAATGGAGAGGGGCCAATTTGCTTACTTTAAGGCCTCTCCCTTCACCATTCCCCCATCCTTACCTTATACGTTATATATTTTCCTTTTTTTTCTTTCTTTTTTTCTTTCGTTCTTTCTTTCTTTCTTTCTTTCGTTCTTTCTTTCTTTCTTTCTTTCGTTCTTTCTTTCTTTTTCTTTCGTTCTTTCTTTTCGTTCTTTCTTTCTTTCCTTCCTTTTTTTCTCCTTTCTTTATCTCGTTGTATTTTACCTTTTTCTTCGTCACGGGGATTAAGTCTCTTGGATTCGCACGTGCTGAGTGTGCGTTACGCTCGTTTGCGAGTACTACTTTGCCTGGCTCTTTCGCCGCCCACTTCTAGGATGAGTTAAGTAATTGTTTCGGGGACAATATTTGCTTTCCTCGAGTGCCCTAATTACACACGCTGCCAAGTATAATTCCAGCCTCTCATACATAATATCTCTCGTTCGCTCGATTATTTTAACTCTGCACGCGTAATATCGCACAATCGAAATTAATGAATGTAATTTCTTTAATTGAACCTTATTAACCGTGAATATTTATTCCGCTATTTAATTGTTAATACTAGAGGAGGATAATAGAGATAACTTTTTCACTTACCATTACTAATGGATCCTAATAATGGCAAAATATAAGAATTTTAGTCATTTTGGTCAATTTAATTAGCCCTCTCCGATCCCAACAGCACAACGATCTCACAAAGACTAAGCGACAAAGTATAAAGCAAAATCGTACGATGGAATAGAAAGGTTTTTACGTAGTGATGTGTGCGCGTGTGTGCACCTTTTCCCTGTTGGGAACGTTCAAGGAAGCGAACGTACTACAATGGATTGTGTCGCACGTGGTAACTGCTGTATACCAGCTGTCTTTAAGCGGCGGTGCCTCGGACCGCAACAGGCGCCAGCAGAAGCCGCCTTAAATATTTCATCTTATATCTCATGTCTCAGTGTCGTGACTCTCTCTCTCTCTCTCTCTCTCTCTCTCTCTCTCTCTCTCTCTCTTTCTCTCTCCCCTCTCTTCACTCCACACTCTCCGAAGAGCGGCGTATGGAATTCGTAGGCGCGCAGATGCCCGCGAGCGCTTAATACTTTCGCCTTTTGCCTTTAGATTTCCGCTCGGGCATCTCTAGTACGCCATCTTTGAAGTTGGATAAGCCGAGGCTCGGCAAGGCGTTTAGTCCGAATGATTTCCGCGCAATTGATGAGGATCTTGAGCTTGGCAACCGCTCACCTATCTCCACTCGTCCCACATTCATCGATTCCTTTTACGATCTGAGCAAAATACGAAAATCGCGAGTAGTAAAAGGGATAATTGAGTGAGAGAAGCCGTCGGTGTGACGGTTATGGGAGATATAGATGAAAATGGAATTTCGTTTGTGACGCGAATATGAAGGGACGGGAAGGGAAGGGTAGGGTAGGGTAGGGTAGGGTAGGGTAGGGTAGGGCAGGGACGAATGGATAGGAACGAAAGAAAGAAAGGGTACAAAGTAACTAAAGAGGTGCTCACTCGAATCGTCTCTCTTCGCTCTGTGGATCGAATTTCGTTAGATTGTCACTGGGCTTCGATAGGCGTTGATCATTTTAAGAAATTAATGGAGACGCGTAACTGCCGTTTTCGATATTTTTCACCGAGTCGGGCGTTTACTGTCTTCGCTCGAGTTTGTAGACGTACGAGATCCGCCGAATATCTTGTCTTTACAAGACTTGGATTTAAAAATGGGCTAGATATAGATATTTTTGAGAGCCGAGATTTTCATGCGGACATTTTCCATTTTGCCCAGACCTCCTGACGATGATAAATAGCCGCAATGAACGACGACTTTCGCTCGGAATATCGACCATCGATAATCTTTATTTTTATTTTTAATAAAGGATAACTGTCACTAGCCGTTTGCATTAATATTTATTGAGAGAAAAAGAAAGCTTTAGAAATTTTGTACGTAATAATTATTAAAAAATAGCAGGTAATACATATTGTTTAAAAGGCAATTGTCGTCATTTAATGATCAAAATGAGTGTATTTCTTATTTATTAAATGGGTCTGGGAATTGTTGTTATCGCGCATGCACGCCATTTTCTTACGGATCCGAGATTTCTTCGAGTAACAACCATAATCCTTATATTATAGTTGTTAGTTAGCGATATCGAGATCTATCAACTGTGACCAGCTATTAAGTCTAGTTGCGGAAATTCAATTATCCTTGTTTCGGACGCCGTTGATTATCGCGCAAAACCCTCGCTTTACGACTCTTCTGGCAATCGTGCGGATCGTTTTAGATTCTTTTTGCGAAGCTTTGGATAATTGATAAAGGATGATGAGATTGGTCGTAGAGCATTATAGAGAATGGCGCTATACTCCTTTTAAAATGTATTTCAAATAATCTCAGTAAATGAAATGAATCGTTAGTATACAAAAAAAATAAAAAATAAAAAATAATAATAAAAATTAAAAAAAGAAAAGAATACAAATTTAGAAAATAAAAATGGACTTTTTTTTTTAACAAATTTCATCGAATAATATATAAGTAAAAAGCTTAATTATTAGGAATCGATGAGTAAAAATATCTTTTTTTCTTAAGCATAAAATTGTGTCTATTAAATCAAGAATTTTACTTGCATTCATGTTTTCGTAGCCATGGGTAATCTGTCATGTATATAGAATCACTCGATATTCACCATAAACGAAGGAATATTTCTTCAAGAAGAAAACAGTTGCAAGGTGAAGCATCATACATAAATCAGAACTGTTAGTGAAAAGGAAGAGTGAGATGGCGTAGGAGTGGGAGGTGGGGGATAGAGCGAGCGAGCGGGAGGGAGTAATATAGAGGCACAGAAGATATACGAGGTGTAACAAAAGTGCCGGGATGCATTTGTTCGTTACGCGTCACAATAAAACCGAATCTGGACAAAAGAAACATCGAAAAAGTACATCTCGCTTAGAGAAAAAGAGAGCAATGCAACAGCATTCGGTAACAGTGGTGAGATCATTATGCGCTGACGTTGCACTACTTGCCGTCTTCGTGCTCGTCTTCGTGCTCGTCTTTCTTCTTCGGTCGCTCCATTATTCGAGGCCACGCGATATTCCTCGTCACGGTCTAAGATAAACCTCTCACGCCGGCTGCTTCATTCGTAAAAATGACGCACACTAATTGGCATCGAACACGTACGAACATTTATTTGCAATCGATTCCGTTGTAATCGGTTGTTCGCTCCGAGGTAAACCTACGTCTCGTCGAGAGCACGGGGTAAACGACGCGAGTCCTGAACGCGGGGGTGAGCGCGCGGGATCGTCCCGTTCCCTCCCTCCCTCCATCCCTCCCTCCCTCCCTCCCTCCCTCCCTCCCCCGCCCATTTCCCGACCACCAGGCCGTCGCCGTCCATCTTCCTTTAACACTTTCGACTTTGCACTTAGCCAGGGGAGCAGAAGCGACTCTATGCTCATTGTCCGAACGCTATCTTTATGCTTGACTTATTATTGATAAAAAAGGACTCGCGTGAAATTTTACATCGCCGGCAACTCGTCAGTACGCGTCGCGACGCTTCTACGTGCGTGTGTTCTTCCCTACCTTGTTCATTTATTTGCACCTTGCGAATCTGGTGAGGAGAGCGAGAGAGACAGAGTCGGACATGAAATTAGCGATGCGGATGATTCGTTGATCGGACTTTTGCGGACGAGGCTCGCACGCAACGTGTGCGCGTGTGCGTGTGCGTGTGCGTGTGCGTGTGCGTGTGGTGCGTGCGTGCGTGCGGGCGCGCAAGTGTTGTGTGTAAATGCCGTGGAAGGAAACGCAAGACTCACAGATGCGTGACTACGCCAGCATGTACGTATCATGGGAGATTGAGATGCACCTTTTGCAACGGTACCGTAGCTAGCACGTGTCCCTCCCCCGCATGCAATCATATGCCATCCGACATTTTTATATTTCGATTATTTTGTATTTATTCTCTTCCACGATAGCAGCGTCAACAACGCTTTTTTCGCCTCTTTGTCATTGTCGTTTTGAAATTAAAAGATCTATCCTATAACCGTGGATAAAGGATTTTATTTCTCATGAAAATTGGTGACATATTTATGGTGTTCCAATACTTGTAACTTACTTACTACTTTGTAACAATGTGCAACATTGACTTATTGCGTTACCTTCGGTTCCAACATAATAAGATATTTGCTTTGGACATGTAGAATAAATATGTAAACGTCTACATATTTAATTACATGAATATTTTTTTTATGTTTACTTTGAGTTTGTGCACCGAGTCGCCGATACAGCGCATCCAGATGTATCATTAAGACGTATTAACAGGCATGATATTCAAAATTAAAATTAAAAGTATCATCGCGCAATTGTATATGCTGGCATCCTTGTTACTTTTTGGATTTTAATCTTCCGCGTATTTGGTATATTTATTACGTTGGTTTGAGCAAAAAAATTTATTACTAATTCAATGTCTTATCGTATAATTTAACAACCATCGAATGTAGTAGTGAGCCGTAGTTGGTGCGTTAACGGCAATAACGAGAATATTTTAGGTTATTTAGAATATAATTTAAAATTGAATCAAATCCGGGAAGTTTTATCGTCTCTTCGCTTCGTAATAAACGACTGCGTCAATAATTGAAGCTTCAACATTTTTAATTGTAATTTCTTAACACTTGGTAATTGAGATCAGTTACCAAATAAAGTAAGTGTTATTAAATTTTTATTTATTTATTTATTTTTTTTAATTTTATTATTATTATTTTTTTTTTTGTTTTGTTTTGTTTTTATTTTTTATCGTTAAGCAAATTTACCTTACTTTCGTTAAAGCGATAAGAATTTATTAATAGTCGTAAATACATTTAATTTAATCAAATATTTGAGTATTGCCGATGAAAGTGATATGAAAGAGCGCCAGGCAATTTAAATACGATAACGCCTGTAAGTTTTAATAGAAATTTTTACTTTCGATCATTTCAATATCTCGTTTTCCTTTCGCCATTCTCATCAATACAAACAGTTGCACGACGAACCCTTTTCGTAAAAACCTCGAGATTATTTTAGTGCGCACGGCGGTAAGTCCAGAGCCACGATTATGTTAATAAATTCATTTATTGGATAGGCTGTTAATAATGGCACCTGGCATTATCGTTGGAATTATTATGCGAATGAAATTTGTCGAAAAGACAAATAGAAGACGGATTATCGATGAAGCGATCCGTATTTTGAGGTAAGCCGGCATTACGCGACCATACGCCGAATATTCGATCTGTCGCTAAGATGACTTTTCCATTCGCTTGATAATAGTTTGCAAGTGTTTTTGATCTACAGACACTAAGCATACGATGACTCGCGAGAGCGACATTCCTTGGTACATTCTTTGATTGTGTACTTTCAATTGCTTTGAATACAATGGTTTCCGTCGACGAGGCGTCCTTTTCTTTACGTTGCACAATTGTTTCAAGAACGTCGAATTACGCGACCCAAGTGTTTTGAGATAATGAGCCTTGGGAATGCTAATTGTCCTCTTTCTTCTTTTTATATTGAATTATTGCAATACGGCAAAGAAGCGTCATATTGGCGTATGAACGGACGAGTAAAAATTATCAAAAATGTTTTGTTTTATTATTTTTTGTCTGGGGTAGTGGGGCGATATAATTATATGCTTATTCTGAATTATCATAGCGATGTTTACTTCGTAAATATAAGTTTTGAATTTAAATAATACGTAAAATTTGCTGGAAATTTGTCCTCCCGTATTGCTGGCCCAAGTTCACGGGAATTCCAAAATTCCATGTGTAAACAAACTCGGTCGCACTGCTCCTTTGCCATTCTGTGCCAGTGATTTTTGTGGTGTTTTTTTTTTTTTTTTTTTTTTTTTTTTTTTTTTTTCTGTGCCAGTGATTTTTGTGGTGTTTTTTTTTTTTTTTTTTTTTTTATCTCTGTTGCTGCTACAACAGCCTATCGATTAGAGAATTTCTTTGGATTTGGGAATGCGCCAGACGACTCTGGGCCTCTGGCAATGCTCAACGAAGCGACGGAGGCACGACCCATGCCCCTTCCATTTCTTTATTTTGCCGGTTTCCCCTTATCTGGGCCATAAATTCATGCTTACTACGCATACTCGTGCGTACGAGTCCTTCGTTGCCGTTGGAAAATGTGGCGTCGCGCTATTATTACGCGCTGCCTGGCCATTCCCGGCGTTTACTATTTCTCTCCATTTCCGGAGGTAATGCCGTCGCGTCGTCCCGCGCTGTACGAGCGGAGAGAAATATAAGAAAAGGGCGCCGCCGACGTAAAGGGAATAAAAGAGTGACACGACTGTACACGCGAACTCTCTTTTTGTCCCGTAGATCTGGGTCGTTCCTAATCTTACGCATACGTGGCAAGAAGCATCGCGCATACGACGCGTACACATACGTAGGCAAGCATGAGCGGAGGAAAAAGGTTCGGTAAAATTAACACACTTTTCCGTGCTCGACTGCTTGAACGCGTGACAATAAAATAAATGGAGAGGCGTTGCTGGTGCTGGTACAGTGAGAGCTTATTTAATTTATGTGTACGCGGACGTGAGGTTTTTCACTTTTTCACCGACGCGTGGCCTGTTTATTGACGGTTTTGCCCGTTTCATTTTTTCTTTCTTTCTTTCTTTCTTTCTTTCTTTCTTTCCTTTTTTCATGTTTTAGTTGTTTTCTTTCCCTCTTATCGATAGAGCATTGCAACAATGTTTCTCGCTGGGAGGTAATTTTTTCTATCTACTGTTAATAATTAATTTCTATAGCGTGGTAACGAGTGTCAAGCGTATAAATACAAATTAAATGCTAACGTTGAAAATTGTTCCCTAATGACGAATATGTTACGAATATTTATATATATATATGCATATATGTGTGTGTGTGTGTGCGCGCGCGCGCGCGTGTGTGTGTAGATAGATACGAGTTCGAAGGGAGCTAATACAATTGCATATAAGCCATAACTTAGTATTCCTATTTTGCTGAAGACGTTGGCGTAATCGTGTATGTAGCGAACATGAAGTCATTAAAAACTTATATAGTTAGCGGTATTTGATGACTATATAATAATAGATCGGCGGTCGCATAAAATGAGTGAACACAATTCTCCATTTATTATTAATATCGCCGAAATATTTTGCATCGATGTTCAAAGTGAAATTACATTTTCCAATTCAGTGAGTTTCCATTGTAATTAAATGGCAACAAATCGGAATATATTTTTAGCTTATCAATCCATAAAAATAATCAATAATGAGAATTATACAAAAGCAAAGTCTAACTAAAACAGATTTACCATTATATCAGAAATTTAATTTGCCCATACGTTTGGATATTCTTTTACGGTTATCGTGTTAAAATAGCCTGCAGCAATTATAAAGTATAGGATATATCAAAAATGCATGGACAGTATTAAAAAATGTACATAAATTAAAAATTTAATGTTTAATAGCTTGTCAAGCGATTAAAATAATGTTAAAATTTGCCATTAATCTAATTGGGCATTGGGAGACTATTAGGATGGGCGGAATATTGCTCACCGGCGACTTGATTCAATATGACTAATTGCTTTCTTTATATTATTACATTATTTTACAACAATTTCTGGTTCTTACGATTTACTTATATCATTTCGATTTTTTGAATACGATTGTTGATCTATTTTACTTGGAATATTATTGAGCGATCAAGTTTATCTGTACGATGTATACATATAAAGTATCATTTTTATCTTATAATATAGTTAAAAAAGTTTTGCAGATTTAACTAAGTTCATTATCACTTGGGCGCAATATATAAATATACATATATGAATATATTATATGAATAGGCATTCTTTTTTTACATTATAAATTTCTTTTCAATACATACAATGAATGTTAGCTTTGCATCCTTCGTTTGCAGTGCACCAAATTTGTATGTTATAGAAAAAAGGTTGAATAACTGTAAATCGAAAAGTGAAAATGCTCTTTAAAATTAGTTTGCTCTGATCGATATTTTGAAATCGGTATATACAATATATTTATGGAAAAAATAAAATAAAATAAAGATTAATCTTTACCAAAATGATCATTATGCTTTTGGTTTTCGATATATTAATATTATTATTATTATTATTATTATTATTATTATTATTTAAAGAAGTGCATTATTATATATATTTTATTACAATTTTTTTTTCATATATAATTATAATTATAATTACACACGCGCACGCGGGCGCGGCCAAACACACACGCGCGCACACGCACAAAATAAACATATTGCCTTTTTTATTATTATTAATACTATTATGATTATTGTTGTTATTATATTATTATTAAGGTGTCTATTTTTAGAAACCTAAAACACGAAAAGTTATCATCGTTTTTCAGACAACTCATTAAGCGTTCAACAACTGAATTGTTACGAATGATATGAAAACTTTCAGATTGACCAAATTTAAATTTGTTATTACATTTATAGAACGAATGTAATCGATAGTATATTCATCGACTTTCTTCATCTGGCATTGATACTGTTTTAATATTTGAATAGTAAATAATATAAAACACAACTTGTTGAAGAGAACAGTTAAAATATATAATACAAAGGAAAGGAGCTTATAATGCAAAGAATCATTTCATGATTATTCAATTTGCACTATCGTATCCTATATTCATATTTGCTGAGGAAATTTTATTTGACCCATACATTTGTATAATTAAGGCAAATCTATAGTTAGATCTGCGTTAAATTGCCCGTGGTAATCCATACTGTTAGTTATTAATTACATTTATCTGATCACGCGTTTTTCAAAATCGATAAACATGCACGTTATCATCCATATTC